ACGCACACGCGCGCACGCACAGCCACACCCACGCCCCTTTCCACTGCCACGCTATATACTACACACCAACGCACATACACACACACGGACACCACACAATATACACCACACGCACACACACACACACACACACACACACACACACACACACACACACACACACACACACACACACACATACACACACACACAGACACACATGCGCACACACACAGATGGCTTCCCTGGCAGACCTACAGCAGCCAAAACCACAAGTACCTGGAGGGCGCGGTCGAGGACGTGCTGACTGAGCCCTTGAATGCATCTGGCCTGGTGGTGCCCAAAGGCCGGACATTCCGAACTCCCAGAGGAAGAACCAACTTGTGTTAGAGAGGAGAAGGCAGTGTTGAGCAGAATGGATGCCTTCTGACTCCAATGATGTGTCTTCTTCAAGATAGCAGTTTGTAGCGCCCATGGAAACAAGTTGCCGCAAACCAAGTGCACACATCCCTGCATGGTGAGATGGATTCGCGAATGGCAGCAACTCAGTCAAAGGAACTCATTTGCTGACTTCACATGTTTCTGAAAAGAACAGTGGGCGCTAAATATGTTCTGCCTTCATCCGCAATGCCTGAATGCCTGCCAGAGCTCCATAGACTTCTTGCATACTTTGTTGCTTTTCTGTCAGCTGCAGGGTGAGGGCGCAGTGGCACATACAATGTCAGCCGTTTGGGGAGGGAATGAGGCAGTGCGACCATGTGAGCTGGCTTCGACTCCCAAACCGCTGTGGCGTATACACCCATGGGTACAAAGTGGTTTTATACCTCATGTTCCCATGGGGCAATGGTTGGGGTCGAGAACGTACTCTTAGACCACGAGACCAGGAGACTGGAGGTGACCGGAGGTGACCGGAGGTGACCGGAGGCCCATTTTCTTGGTGTTTGCAGGCGCCGTTCGTGTTCGCGTGCCTGCCGGGGTTCGCTTCATCAAGCCCGAGAACGTTTGCTCCTTGAAGCTGGCGCTTAGAGCCGGGGCCCATGCCAGATGAGTGCTTTTTTTGAGAGTGCCCTTCTGACTTGGGGTTGGCGAAAGAAAAGGAAACAGCCACCGTGTCGTGGGATTTACAGGACAACGAGGGAAAGCACCACCATGATTGGGGGTCCCCCTATTTTGACACATGCCCAGATTGCCAGATCTTTCAGCTCAGATCCTTTGCTTGTACAAAAACCCATGGTGGAAACCACAACGTCCTATAAAACCGACCGTGGTTGAAGCCTCACTCCCCTGAGCAAGCTCAATATTGTCCATTGCTCTACGGGATGGTTCGAAGCAGAGCCAACGATGTGCCAAGGGCTGGTGCGTCCACAAATGTGGCAAGTGGCAAGTACTCACTTTGATGGTGTATCCGCTGGGTTAGATGTGTATATTAGCAGGACTTCAAGCATTCTGAAGTTTATGAAGTGCAAACCTGGATGTTCTCCCCACTCCCAATTCCCATGTTTGCTTTCCAGTGCTCATGCCCTCTCGTGCAGCAATGCGATGACTTCAAACAAAGTTTTTTTGTTTCCCTGTTTGCGGAATTCAAAGATCACCTACACCGCAAGGTTGGCGCTTCCGTATGAGCCTCCTTTGAGTATGCATCTCTTGGGGTACGGACCCGAGGAAAATGTAGTACTTTGAGCTTAGGTGCAGGTGGTGGCGCCGGGGGCTGGCACAGGTCTCAACGGCGATATCTACAAAGAGCTGGGCCCGGACCCAAGACCCGGGGAGACTCAGACCTGTGCCGTTGGCATGCGGAAGTGTCGGCATGAACATAATGCAACGTGGTGCAAGCCATTTTGGTGTATTGAAGTATTGAATTTATTCTTTGTTTCACCAGTGGTCTTGTTCGTGAAGCAGCGATAAACTGTTCGAACCGCACAGCACAACGTCCAGAGATTCGCAACGAATCCCAACAAAATTCCAAGTGCCAAAGCAGTGTCACCCCACGGCCCGAGACTGTTGTCACCTCAACCAGCTTCCTTATGTTGAGAAACTGTGGCAAATCCCGCACCCCACTGCCTGAAGATCCAGCGTGCTGAGGCGAAGACACGCAATTCAAGGCCCAGTGCTCGATTGGATTTTCTGCGCTTGTTTTCAATTTGCTAGACGTGCTACTGCGTGAAGGAGGGATCAAAACACGATTAACAATGAGTTGTTTGAGGCCGAATTATTGCACACAAAGATGCAAGTGATCGCTCCATCCTTTGCAGCACCCTTCACACCCAACACCCGCACACAAGCACGCAAGCAAGCAAGCAAGCAAGCACCCCAACAATAATACACAAGAACAAACAGCTAAACCCGCGCACGCACCCACGCACGCAGACTGCACAGGCAGGTAGTTGAGTGGAATTGTCATTCACAAGTTGTGTCTACACTTTTGCTTGGCGCCTGAGCAGCTTGGACTCAAGTCGAAGGGTTGTGCTTGCAAATTTGCAACAAACAAGCATAGTCTTTGAGCCGGGATGCAACAGTAGAAGAGCCAAGTACTGCTTACTGAAGCGCCAATCGCCAGCATTCATTTACCAGGTTATCATAGATAGCAGCTAGATGATAGCCGAACCAAGCAACGTTGACAGAACTAAAGCTGCTGGACACTCACAAAGTGTTCCAGGCGGCAGAATCCCAACCTTGTGTGTTGTGTTGACTCCCCCTCCAGACTATTAAAGTGACTTTGATTGGCCTGGATAACGATCTTTATGTTGAAGGGATGAGATGAAAGGCAGACAATTGATATGCACTCGCGGTAGATTTGGATTCACTGATTAACTGGAGAACGGACATCATTCATTTCATTGCACCATACAAATTAACACTTCTTTAACGTTGCCTCCTTTATAGATGGCTTCTGCTCCGTGCCTGCAGCAGATGATCAAATATGCAAGGGAAGATAATTACTTGGTTTGGTTTCACCAGCCGTCGAGTTGCTACCCTCCTGCCGATCAGGTTTTTGGAGCAATTCTGGGGACTCAGTGTTGCTCCGGCCCTTTGCCGGCTGCCACCCTTCGCCTCTCGCCTGGCGCAGGTGGATATTTGCGGGAAGCGAGGGGCGCCCTATGATCGATACCCGCCATGCTGGGAGCATGGGCATCCCGCACCAAACCTGGAAACCTGGACACAGGCGCCGTGTGGCTGGCGTCACCCTTGGCTTCCTAGTCTTAAAACCAGGATATGCCTCAGGTGAGCTATCGAGTTTTGATTATGACTCGCGTGCCGGTTGACGTTGTCGGTTTTACATGGATGGCACGGCTTGATATCAGGAAATGCGCCAGATATTATAGCCGCATGTCGCAGCGAGCAAGTCCAGTACGCAGATTCCTCTAGATTGGTCCGCCAGACTGCCCTGACATTGGCCAGTATTGTGATTGGCGATCTCATTGGCAGATTTGATCCCAGAGTCATAAGCAAGCAAGGCTACAGATCTTCATGCAGAACACATTCAACACACATGATTGGTGAACATACATCCACATGCCACTATGATGTACATCACGGCTTTCCAAACGCAAAACATACCCCTTTTGCCAACAATCATGGAAGGGGCCGTTTGGAGCCATTTTCTTCCCAAACCCCTCCTGTCCACTTCCATTGGAACGAGGGTACTTATACGATCGAAACGGTGCTGGTTTCAGAACTTGGCAGGAGCTGTTGACGCAGCCCATGGGAGACGTCCTGGTATGTGGCTCACGTGGAGGCCAGGATGCGGAGTGCCCATTTCTAGGTGCACTTCCCCTGTTCTAGCAAGGTCCTTTTTGGAAATTGCCAACAAACCCAGGGAAACTTTCCAGTCGTCTCCAAAGAATGGCACAATATGTATGTTGAAGGTCTGCACAAAATGGGCAAGCAATGCAGCGAGGACGGGCTCAAACTCAAATTATATGCGCGCTCCCGCTTCAAACAGTCAGAGAAGAAGCGGCATCAGCCGATCTGCAAGCGTGCACTCCCTTTGTCTTAACTAGCTTACACTCAACTGTCCAATTTTCACAAAGGGGTGTTAATCATCATTCACCGATTTTTTTTGTTGAACACACAGTTCTTTCACTCTCCTCTATTTATAATGAGCCTATCTGGGGATGAAACGAGCCCACCATGATGTAGTTCCCCCCCCCAATATCACACAATTCGCAGCTACGCGTCCAAGAGCAACATCATATGCGTTCTCCTTTTACAGTCCAAATCAAGTTGTTTATGTCCAACTAGATATGCTTGCCTGTCTCAACATGTACCATTTAACTGAGCCGATTCAAATGAGTCGTTGAGCTTTCCAAGAGCTTCAGGCAAATGTTGCAGTGATCAGCTACAAAACAGCACATGTTGCTTCAGATGCCCCCCCCCCCCCGTCGAGGCCAGGCAGACACCATTGGTTTTTTTCTGCTGAATGTGGAGCTAGACAGAGTCATTGACGCGTGACAGACAGGCCCGGTATGTTCCAGAAATAACAACTTTGCAATGATGTTTCTCGTAACAAACTCAATTTCTGATATGGTGGCACATGCGTGCTGCCAAGGCCAGGTTGTGCTCCCGCGCTTCTGGCAGATGCTTGGCTGACATCTAGCAAAGGCAAGGGCGGAGAGTGTGTCTGTGTAGAAGCTTGATAAGATGGGTAGAGGCGAGAGCAGCCGGGCAGCAAGCGTTTCAAGGAAGCACAATGACTTTGTTCATGCATGCGGCGCGATGTGTGCGTGTAAGAACTATTCACACTTTTTGTTTTTCCGAACGGGGCAATATGTGCAAGTGTGAACTGGCTGGGCATGGAGGAAGGGCTGAGGATGTGCTTGGAGTCATAGCTGACCACCAAGAATCTAGCCAAAAAAAATTGCGCTGCCGCCCGAAGTCATGTTATGGTTCACCATGTTCAACATTCAGACTATAACATGAATGGTTTATTTGTTGTCGGCCTCATGCCAATGCTTGAACTGTGCCGCAGACCAGATCTTACAAATGGGGCAACAGGTTGCTGCGACCATTGGGCCAGTCTACCGCATCAACATGTGATCGTTCGGGATTTGGTTACACAATGCCAGCTTTTCCACATGCACTGGGCTGCAGCTCTTTCGCCCGCTTGGATTGCTTCTGAACACGCAAGGATATGAGTCTCACAATCCCGGGGATTTATGTACACCAAACGTTTCATTAGAAGTAACCACATGTCTCGGGCACGATGCGTTGATATCGTTGATGATTATCGGTTAGTTTCCGAACCAACTTTCAGCGTGTTCAGGAAGGTGGGTGACCAGATTCCGCCAGCGGTGGTCATCAACGGAGGCACGGCCAGCCAGCCAACATGGCGCGGAAACGGGCGTCCTTGGATACATAACGAACAAGATAGTTTAGCCATGTTTAGCCCTCAAACATCGTGTTGACTTTAAACATGTATGTTCAATTTAACTACAAGATCCCGACAAATGCTAGAAACGTGTACATGGAGTGTACACTCCAACCACAATTGGAGTCTGGCAGATTTGCTTTTTTGCCTTTGGCAGACAAGTACCAAATCCCCATTTGGCCTCCGAGTTGGTTGCCTCTCAGTCTAGCACATTCTTGCAGCGTGCCAACTCCGAGGCTTCTTTCCGGAGGAGTGCCCTTCAAAAATCCAAGCTACAGTGAGGGCTGTCCAATCAACAAAGTAGTCCCTTTCAGACTGCATTAACAGTGTAGCTTGCCTGTTGGCGGTATGCCGAACTGATCCCAAAGAAGGGGTCCTCTTTTGTAATTGTTGTATAAGTTTAAGGTTCACTAATCAAACGGTGTTGTTTGGTTCGGGGGCAAAGGCTTAGGATCTTCAATCCCAGCTTTAATTCAAATACGTGTGACAACTGCAGCATGCCCACAATAAGGGTGCTTCCGGGAATAATTCCTGTTGTAAAGTGATGCAGTTGTGCTATGTGATAGTCCGTACAATCTTGTAGCATGTGCTGATTCTTCTGCAAATTTGCCAGGATCCATGTACGTGGCTGGATATTGTTGGAATGTCAATAATTGTAGTCAGAACCGGGGCTTGATACGTACCTCACTCTTGAAGGACGTGATTTTGTTTGTTTGTCAAGCTTTGAGCCTTTGACTGTTGCACACAAGCGCTCATGCTACCCCTTCTGCTTCATCCACCGCAGCCGGTACGCTTCTACCCATCGTGCGATTTGCCAGGCTGCGCAATGAATCTTCCGGGCCCGAAGATAGCGTGGCCCAACCAGGCTGTGAACATCCTCTTGCTCGGGGGCCAGGAGCCTGCGTGGTTGCCCTTTGCAACAAGTTCTGGATTGCATGTTTGGAGTTAGTTGCCTGTTGAGCGCTGTTTGGAAGCCCTTGCTTCTGAAAGTGCTTAGACTGGGCGCGCGCAATGCAATGCGAAAGCGGTGTGCAAGGTGAGGTACGTGCGGAAAGCGAATCTGTTTCATTTGAGTGCGTAGTGTGAGATGTTGGGATGAAAGGTACCAACTTTCACCAATACCGGGTATTGGAGTGGTTTTCATTATTCATTTTGGCAAACTTCGAGGGTTCAAGCACATACACCGGTTGGAAGATCAGCGCAATTACGCGATCTGCGCGCTAAACTCCGAACACGCCACAGCGGAACGAGCGCAAGCGTCTCGCAAGCGCAGTGCAGGGACTATACTCAGGGAAGGTAATATGGGTTGGCCAAATAAATCCTTGATTGTTATTCCAAGTGGTAGGGGTTTCCATGGGTTTCCCTTGTCTTGGCTAATTACCTTGTTGTGCCAGAGGTTTCCTTGATGACTTCGACATGATGCAACCATTTGCTCAGTGGTTGCAGTTGTGAGTTTTCCTCGTGAAATTTGTAGAGTGGGATGCTTCCTTCGAAACTGAGTCCTCAAGGGGCATGCGAAGCATTCAAACTGTTCTTTGGCACATCAACTGGCTGTTTGGGTTGCCAGCCGACAAGTTTTAGATACCTGGAGATGACATCGATATGATTGGTACCTGGAGATGACATCGATATGATTGGTACACAGTAGGCATGAAAACCGTATAGGCGTTGCTTCCGGCTTTGGGATGTTATGCTAGTAGTCTTCAGGGGCACAGCCCCCCTTGTTTCCAGAAGTGTGCTCATGAACATGCAGGAGGCATTTCCATTAACCGTAAGCATCTGATCATGACTCCTCAATTTAGGGACACAACCCATCACAACCCCATTCGTTTCGGGCTCATGGAGACTCCTGGCAGTTGCCCACGCGTTTGGCAGGACTTTTTCAAGGGGCAAAAGTCCTCCTCCGAGTACCTCGCCTCGACGAAGAAGTGCATCCCGGTCAACACTCGCACTGCCATCATCTACGTGCCTCGGCACATGATGACCACTATACGTCAGGGGTCCTTATATTTCCTTGGGAGCTCAGACATGACAGGTTGGGGCCAAGTTTAGAGGAGTGTCTCTTTAGTGAGGTGGTGTCTAATGGGAACATATGTGCAACCGTCAAAGCCTCCAAAAGCCACTTTATCAAGGAGGGCGCAGAAACAGGGAAACCATTGGAAAAGTGATAGGCACCATCCAAAAGCGATGCCCGGTGCCCGAAGAACCTCCGAGCAAGTTGCGACTTTCGAGCTGGAGCTGATGAGGTGTACTTCGCAGACTACACTTGTACTACAAAGTTGCGGTTTTCGAGAGAAAGCGACAGGCCCCCTCCAACGGCTGCGTGTCCTTTACGCTATCTACCAACGCATATATAGAAGGAGCAGGCCCAAATGAGCAATTGGCAACACTCGTTAGTCTGGGAGAAGGAAAAAGAGGGGCTACCCGCGTGTTGCATAAACCCGGGGAACGGGCCCCAGTTTTCCCGTGTCCATGTTTGGGCAAACGAGTATAGGAGGAGAATTGATTAAAGCTCAAACGCTGCCCACAAAAGTCTGCTGTATAAAGCTTATCGCGACACTGCGGAGGATTTTAAGTGCAATCTGGGTGTGTGATGCCAGAGCAGCCTTGAAAGACGCAATGATTGTGATCATTTTGTTTGACTAGCATTCTTGGCAATGTGCATGGTACCAGCAAAGAGATGATGGACGCTAGCATCGCGCGACAAATGTGGATATGGTGCTTCTGCGAGATTGCAATTGAATCACTTGATCGATAGATGTGGGCTGCGGGCCAGGCTGCCGCGACAGTTTGTTTGTGATGCGAACGGCTTTGAGACAAAGGTCACGAGGTAGCCCAATGTAATGCCTGGCAATGCAGAAGCGGTGCATTGTCAGACTTCAGGCTGCACGCTCCTGAGCCAGCGAAACTTCCTGCAGTCTTGAAACGGGGATGACAGTACCCGAAAGATTGATGTCGTGTTGATTCGTGCTGTATATTCCTTTCAGACCACAATTCTGGTGAGTTTGCCACACATCCCACCGTTTGGTCAAGCAATCTTTGGGTGCTCCATTATCGATGACTCTTCACCCCAGAAGTACTACCTTTCCAGTTTACCTGAGCCAATTGCTGATACGGCTGGCAAAAGTCTAGCTGTACCCTTTCCATTCTGTTCAGGTATCCTTCTCTTCAGAACCTGGCCTGACACCATGGTGAAATCAGCGATGTTTGAGACAAAACCCGAGGAGCCTAAGCGATGTCTGACACCAATGCTGGGTAATCACCCCTTTGAAGTGAGCTTAGCTCCGCCCAAGTCCTGAAGCCTTTTCGAGACTGTGAGGTGCGGCAGATGCAGCACGTGCCACAAAAAGCCCTGCTGCAAATGGCGCCGAGCCTAGCTTTTTTGTTGGTGGTTCGTAGGTGGTCAATGGTCAGTTGATGGTTAGCGAATAGTAGGGAGTGGTTTGTGGGTGGCGGGTGGGTGGCGGGTGGGTGGTTGGTGGGTTCAGTATATAAGATGATTCACGTCCTTTGTTTCAACCCTGGTTTGAGCCAGGCTTGCATCAGCCACGACCAACAGGCATGTGTTCCTTCAATCGGCAAATCAAGAGGGAGCCATCAACTGTTCATGAACAGGTGAATGATACATTATATATATATATATGTATGGGATGATTGGGACTGTTTATCACGTAGTCCCCGCACCTTGCACAGACATGTTGACTGTCACTCCAGGAAGGTCCTTAGTTGTTCCCTCCTGTGCTTCGATTCCCAACCCACAGAGAGGCTTGTGAACCATGTCCATGAGATGTCCCATGTTTCATCGGCGAGGTGTCAACCACCTTTAGGAGCGAATGGTTCATCGGTGCCTTGAGGTGTCAACTCCTTTCAAAGCGCAGCAATAGTCAGACAGTGAGCCCGTCAGTCAGACTTGGCGCTTTGAACTCTCTAGCTGATCAATACATCCTTGCAGCGCATGAGGCGCACATATACAGTTCAGGCTTCACAGGCGTCAGCATGAATATTTGACCGTGATGTATTTGCCTGTTTTATGGCCAGCTCACCTGGAAGTAAAACGAGCTTACCATGATGAACGTCCTTTTATTCCGGGATCCCCTTATTTCAGGCTTTGGAATGATTGTAGAATTTGCAAATGCATTGATTGAGCAACTGTTCTCGGGGCTGATTTGATTCCCCATTGTCTTTTGACCAGTGTTTCATGTTAAACTAGCAATTTGCCCGTTGTTGTTTATGGTTTTCTGAAAGAAATAATTTCTGAGAATGATTGGAAGTTACCCCTAGAACTAGGGCAATTCGAAGCTACCTTCGCCATTGGCCAAACAGGTGCTTCGACCCTTGGTCCTAGCGGCAGCCGCGTGGCAATTCTCGAAGATCAACCCAGAGGAGCCCCCAGCACCATCCCAACACGTCGCTGAAGAAAGCAAGACGAAAACCGGCTTCCTTTTTCTAGGTCCAAGGTGGTTGCATGTTGAGGAGCCCGTTCACAAAGTTAACCTTGGTGCGGTGCATTTACCTTTAAGTTACTGTCAAGAGAGTAGCTTGAGGGTTTCCGCCAGTTGTTCAGTGACGTCTGACGTATTGGCTGCAGTTGAATTTGGCCAACTTTCTGATGCGGCTCTGCTTAGCTGTGTTCGGTGAGTGAAGAAGTGAGCCCGAGGCCGGTGGTGTGACTATTTTCAGCTTGGAAAGCTGTCCACGTGCCATTCGCATTGATTTGAGGAATCCAGGCTCCAAACGAGATGCTCGCTCTCTAGCTGCTCCCTTTGTGTTTTTGTTGGAGTGGATTTCCTAAATCAACGAGGCAAATTGCCCATTTCCCGCATGATAATTCATCCGTTGGTCTGGGATCTGGGTTGCGAGGAGCAGCTGCGGGCTGTGACTAACCAGTTGGAGGCTGGCTGTGACCTCGAGGTTCGTGTTCAAAATGCCCAAACCGAGAGGTTTTGGCGAATCTCCTGTAGAATTTCCTGCTGGTTCTTGGATTAGGTGCGGTCAAAGTGCCATTTTGGGAGGGACATGAAGGACTCGTAAAATGCTCGCAAAAACCAGTAGACTCGCTGAGTTTCAACCGCACACACACACACACACATGTCCCACTTCCAGGGTGACGGTGGCAAATTTTGACCAAGGCTGTCACAAGTTTTGGGTCCGTGGACCCCAACGGCAGCTTGCGAAGGTCCTGCTGTTGTCCCTGTGGTCGAAACAATGGGCAAAACTCCTTGTTGGGGTTAGTAGGAACGGTATTGTGCTACAAAGACATGTCAATCACCTACGTGGACGGAAGGGATGGTCATCAACCCCGGACTAGGGATTTTAGAGATGGTATGGGTTCCAGTAGAACTACGACCATGGTCCACACAAAGGGGTTACAAATGATTAAGCTCCACAATTCAAGTCACGGAACAGGACCTGTTCTGCCAGTTGCCGTTGCCACAATTGAAGTTTCTCAAGTTGCTATGGTGAGAGGGTTGCAAGAGCTGCCTATGTCAATGTGCTCTTCAGACACGGAAGCAAACAATGTATTCCTTCTTGGCAGTGCCTTAGAGGCGACCAACCCGTGCGTCGTAGTTTATTATTGTAAATATTGATCAGAAGTTGTCACAGTGTTAGCGATTCACCTAGCCTCCTGTTTAGACTCAGAAATCCGAGCATTCCCCACCGAGCACGGCTGGACGGATGACAGCATTACTTCAAGACATATCGATCGACGTTGATAGTGAATTGCACTGACGCGGCAATGGGTGGACAAAAACATCACCCTGGCCTTCAAAAGACCTTTAAAAGAAAGGCCGTTACGGAAAGGGCCTTTGTTTATATGGCCGAGGACGAGCCCAATAAGGCCCGAGGGCCCCCCAGGCCACAACCCACCCAAGCAACAGCAGGCTCCGCGCATGCCACACACACAGATTTTCACCTGCGGGCCCGTTGCTGTGCGGATCGGTTTAACCTTGGCTGGAAAACCACACATGTGCGTTGATGAGCCAAACCCAATTAATCCAAGCAACTTCCTCATTTTCATGCGCATCGAGAGGATCCTGCAAACATGTTAGCATCATTCAGCGACAAGACCTTGCTTTCTATGTTGATCAAAACGCAAACTTGGCCCCAGGATCCCACAAGCACCTCAATCGGCCACATTTCATGATCCAGCTCATCGGATGTAGCGCGTGGGCGTTCAAGTATACCCCTAAGATAGGTTCAAGTTCCGGCACCCAAACGATCAATCGACGTGTTGAACTTATACCTCGTTCATGTCTTGGTTTGCAGCCAGGCGGCTTTTGCACCACGCCATTGAGTCTTCATCTATGAAACAATGCACGAACCTATAGTTCGATCCTGGGATTGGCAAACATGTGATGAGACACAAAACAAGTTGTGCTTAGCACTGATCTATTGGTTGCAAAGGAGGGTCGCTGGTTCTTCATCGATTTGCATGCGTGAAACATGGCCTAAGAATGCAATGTTGGGCAAAAGGCCCCCGCACACGCGTGCATGTGTCACAAGTCACAACACCGCTCATGGAGCTCATGTTGCATTCAAGCAGCATGCACTTTAGGCCGTACTAGCCATTCATGCTTTTTCATCCTCCCCAAGAAGAAACACGTACCCCGCAACATGGAGCAAATTACACACACACCAACATAGTAGTCGGCGCGAGCAACACTGCAAGCGATGATGCCGAATCAGAGATTGCAAACTCACATCGCTGTCCGTACGCTCATGTGCGTCAGCTTGAGGTACTTGCGGATGAAGCTAACGCCCTCATCATGAATCATGTTTGCTTCCATCTCTGACCTTGGCACATGTGAAAGCGATATATAACGTAACATCGATGTCGATCAACGCGTTGCATGTGCAACACCCAGCCCGCTGCAAACGTGACACACATACACAGCACACGCACAGAGCGCTCACACACACACACACGCGCGCGCACACACACTACCACACACGCACAGCACACACACACACATGCACACAGCATACCACACGGACAGCGCACACACACACAGAGAGCAGACACACACACACACAGAGATTAATTACACGCACACAGACACACACACACACACCACACACACACTACACACACCACACACACCACACACACCACACACACACACATACCACACACACACACCACGCACACACACACACACAGCACACACACACACGCACACAGATCAGACACACACCACACACATAGAGCACAAGCACACACACAAAGAGCACACACACACACAGCACACGCAAGCAGCATACAAACCGGCACAGCTAGCATACATATACATGCGCACATGCATGCAGCATGCCAAACACAAAACACACACATATCAAACAACACACACACGGAGAAGCAAGCACCAAGCACGAGCAAGGGGCAGGTAGCGGCCACTGCGCTCCATGTGGCCCATGAATCTGGCCATGTGGTTCCTTGAGTGGCCACGGCCCGAGATGGGGGTGGGGAGATGTGGTGAGGCAAAAATGGGTGCTATTCGTTGATATAATAAGTGAAGCAAAGGGTCATTGTGACAGCTACGAGGGGTAGCCTTGGATCAGCCTCTACAAGTCTCTCTTTTTCGGCAGCTTCAGAAGTAGCAGCCCGCAGCCACTCCAAAATACATCGGCCGTTGTACGCCTTGGCCGTCAAGAGGATGTCATTGTTCTTTTTCAGGATCTCAGCATTGATCTGCTTATAGCACTTGTGTTGTTACTGTTACTGAAGTCAATGCAGCAATCACATCAGGGACAAACCGCATGAGGGAAGTTCCCTAAGATCCAATCATCGAAATGCAGGATAATTTTCCTATGTTGGACCAGGAACAATGAAAATCATTCCATGGGATCGAACCTTCGAAGTTTGATGTAATCTTGCCCAACGGGCGGTTGACTACACTGCAAGCCCTGACCACATCGCACAAACATGTTGAGAAAAACAGATGCAGGCATCATTTACCAACTCTTTTTCTGCGATAGCCAAGCCACCATCCCTGTGGTGAATGGAGGTTGCGAACAGCTGACACCATTGTCCTTGCACCAGGCCTTAAATTTGTCGTACGCTGCGCCCAACCGCGCTGAGAAGGGAAGAGCATCAGAGCCAAACACTTGCAAGTCGATCAGCATTTTCCTTAGATCAATTTGGGACCAGCTCAGCAAACAACCGAGCTTCCACATGAAACAATCAAGTAAATGAACATGCAATGGGGTTTCAAGCTTGCTCCGTTGCAAACATAGAAGAGTCCAAGATGGATCACATGCATCAGACACCATCTGATGATAGATGGGTCAAATCCTTGAAGTGCCACAAGCGGACCTTGGAGCATCATGTGTTTGCATTGTTGATCGAATAAATACACACATGTGCACATGGTGCGCATGCACAAAATTGACAAGCAACTGGGCACATGTAGCGCTAATCCATCCAACTGTACAAACGCCCCCCCCCCCCAGTTTCCAACATCCCCAAAGTACAAGCCAGCCCCAGGGCCGCATAAATCAATTTGGGATAATTTTTACAAAGGGACTAGAATGTTCAACGAAATTTTACGAATAAGATCTAACAAGGTATACCTATTGAAAAAAACAATTGCTACGCACTTACACGTGCTCGACACAGGCTGACATGTTCAGTAAGCCAACACGGCACCATTCAACCAGCCAAGAAGCAAACCCCCTCGTGTGGCATTCTCTTTGCTAGAAAATCTACCAGCGAAAACTCAGAGTCCACCCAGTCACCGTCGATGTTGTAATACACCGAGTCGAAGCAACCGCTGGAACGTGCCGGGCACACGTGACATGTGTCTGCTCCGTTCCACGAGCAGCGAAATCTGAAAATTTTCTTCATCCAGCTCCAGTCGCCCCGAATTTCTGTAGTTTGAAAAACCAAGCCATCGCGGCAAATTGGCTGACCTGCGCAAGATGCCATGCGTGGTGGCAACTCCTCATCATTTGGCCCTCTGCTGGGGTGCAAACCAGACCATAGGTGATTAATTGACCATACGACGCGGCGCCAAATTGCATTGAGCGTGTGGTACTTCCAGAGTAGGCGTTCAGGAATCACCGTGAGCAGGAACCTGCTGTATCTAATTGATCGTGGCCGCCAGAGTGGCAAATTCATAAACAGAGCCACCACGCTTTCTTGGCCAAAAGCAAACTTGACAGAAGCCGCATCTCCGTATAATCCGATCGGTACGTGGCGCGTAGTACTACAGCGCTTTGCAAAGGGCTCATTGTGTGCTCTTGCGTGCCTCCAGTACTCTTCCACCAAGCACTTTGGAACGCATAATCCAGCTTCGTTGAAGACAAATGCCATGATTGCATGTGGGTCCATACAAGGCCAGCTCACGAGGTCAAATTTTGTTGGTGACTTCTTGTTGGCCACTGGGATTTGGATATGCTCAATTTCCTAGGACTCTCCCAACGGAAATTCAAGTGTTGAGACGCAAGTTCACAATCAGACATGAATAGCAAATGTGTTTCGCAACCTGATTCGGGGGTCCAGAATTTTCGGTTCCCAGATTTGGGCTGTCAAATTTGGGTTGCCCTATTTGTGCTGAAAATCATGGGACCAACATTTTGAGCATGCTAACTTCATTCACCCAAGCAAGCCGCTATGTCTGCAGTTTCCAGGATGCGCCACCAGTCTCGGGAGGAATTGTGTGCCGATAGGCTGCCCAATCGTTTTGCAGTAGGATTGAGAGATGCTTCTCCACAGTCCTGAGCACAGCACTTGTGTAGTATACCGGTTGGTTCAAGCTATTGATTTTTTTTTCACGCTGGCTAGTGGGGTAAGTGCTCGGTGTTCGGCAAACGTGAGAAACATACCTTGTTTGTTCGCGAATTCGGTCTATTTTAATATACACATGCGCGTCAAGACCTGCCTCGTGCGGCCC